TGCAACTCTACTCGAGCTACAAATTTATAGCCAAAGGCAACAACCATATCATGGCTGTAAATCAACTGGGGTTTTTGTGTGTGTGTGTATTATAACATTATTATTATTATTATTATTTTAAGGAAAAGCACTTTGGAGCCAAAATCAGCATGTGCAATTAACAGGAGGGACTGCACTTTAAGTTCAAAGGACCCTTTTGGGTTATCTGATTCTAATACAGCACTACTAACGGAGCCTAATCTAACCTGTCATTTCAAGAGCTATAAGGAGAACAAATTGCCATCAACGGGGGAAGGGTTTGGAACAGCATGCAGCCTGTCCTCTCCTGACATCCTACTCAGCAAATTCCTCACAGATTTCCTCCTGATGTCAGTAAAACTAACATAAAGGTTATTTCATAAAATCTTGTGTGGATTGCTAACTTGTGAAAACCAAAGGACCCATGCCCAGAACAACAATGCAGACTCAAGTAAATAATCATAGCATTTGTCCTTTGTGCTTAAAGCTTAACAAACCAGCGAAATAGAGGAGAGGCTGGAGAGTTCCCATGCCAAGTACCAATGTTGTGAGCACATATTGAAACGAGTAGCCAGTAAATGTTGAAATAAAGGTGACTGATCATATTAAAGACTTCTTGTTTGACTGGAGACTGTTAGGAAAGTTTTCCAGTTTAATATGCAATATGATGAGGGGTAGAAAAAAAACCCAGTAGGGTTAAATATTAAATGCTAAAGACATTATAAATCATACCAGCTATTTCTTCATGGAACACAATCCCTTCAGCAGATCAGGAATGCTGTAAAATATAGAGACGTGACCAGGGCAGATAGTGGGAGGACATTTGTTACCAGTGTTAGACTGGCAATGTCCCCAGAATCAATTTTGGAATCCTGGTGAAACAACAGATAGGCAAAGTTTTGGCAGTTTGGTATTTGCATACTGAAATAATGTCATGCAACTGGTCAGAAATTTTTCTCCTTTACCGTGATGCCATCAGAAATACAGACGGATGTCCAAATTGATAATACTAAGCACGCCTTTCCAGCACACTGTATTTCAGCCAAGATCACTGGTATGTTCTGGCTTCTTCATGCCGCACTAATTAAAACTCAGTCATCCTCACAGCTGCTTTGTATTTCTAGAGCACTGCACAACAGCTGGATCATGCCGTTGATTTTGGCCCCTAAACTCCTTGGAAATTACTGTGTGAATATCAAAACTTTGGCCCTTTCTGTCACCATTTAAGCTTTGACTTCACCTGCATCTCTGGCTTCAGCACACAACACCTTTGCATTTGGATAAAGTGTTGGAAAAGCATCAGCATTGTAACTAAAGACAAAGTAGATGTTAGTGTTTCACTGATTTTGGCAGGCTTCTACAAAAAGAAAAGCTGTTAGGGGCCACGTCCCTGAGAGTGACAGACTGTCTTCCACACTTACTGTGATGTAAGACTTGCTGCAAATTAAATCTACGAGTGCTGAAGAAATTTTTTAAAAGGCCAAGTTTGACTTCCTTTAGTGACAATCATATTCTAATTAGCTAGTTGATAGAAAACTCTGGATCAATTGATTAAGCTGCTCTGCTGCGGTATTAAGGAATTAAAAAAAAATTGCATCTGTCCTTTGTGGACCTATATTGATTTACATCAAGTAAAAGCTCACTTTAAATGTGCATTCCTTATTTCTCCGTTAGCGTGCTTATAAACCTGTAGTCAACTACTCAGTCTTTACATGGCCTCATGAATTAGCTGAATATCTCAGCTCCCACGGGGACGAATAAATCAAAATGTCTGTCTTGAGTTACAGTGTGACAGGGTGACACACCAGCATTCATGAAATCTAACATATTCAGCTAAGTGCATCTGGTTGATTATGCAAAGCTTGAGGTGGATGATGTGTCTCAACTAGTCATGAGTTAAATTTCAAATTAATTGTGCCCCTTCAGGTCTAACAGTTGAGTCATCTTACTACAGAGGAATCACTAACACAGCATGTTACTAAGCAGAATACACTGTAATGTAATAATCTGGTTTCCACTGGAAAACATATGTAATGTGCAATATTTATTCTTAAAACATGTAGGATGTTCTAGACCCATGAAGCCATTCACTGTAAGCCATGAAAAACAGGTTTGGTTCAGAGATTAAAGTGGCTGGAGGCTGTGACCCACAGGCACTCAGAAGGAAACACTTATAAAATAGAGACAGATTGAATCCCAAGTGCTCTCTCTTGAGAGGAAGCATGGTTGGAAAGTTTAAAACCCATTAAAGTTAAACAAATTGAAAAGCCCTATCTGAGAGGAAACATAGTACAATGTTTATTTTTCCATTACAAACCTGAGACCTAAAAGATTTCCTGAGGTTCTCAGGTATTGTTCATGCTTATAATGGAGATCTGTTTTTAGAAAGTGCAACTTGTGTTTAATCCAAACTGTTTGATGAAAAACACACTGCATAAGCATTCAGGAAGTTAAAGGCCATTGTATACCTGTATCACATATTGTTTGGATAGGAGCAGAACTACAATGTAAGGAATCTCATCATGAAACTCTTTCACTCAGAAACACTGGGTCTAATTCTCTCCCCATTTATGCTGCTGGACGAATTCCACTGAATTAATGAAGTTAAGACATGAGTAACCAATGATAATAAAAAGACAGTCTTCCTGAAAAAAAGCAATGGTAATGTGAGCAAGAGATTTATAACACTGGCTTGAGTCAAGTAAGTAGCAAGCTGTAGCAGGCCCAGTGTAACATTAGCCAAGCTGATTAGTCAATATATTTCAGGTTTTGCCTTATCACTAGTGAATTGCTTCTCTGAGATCCTTATCAAGAAAATATGTGATGTTAGTGATGTTGAGAAGCATCTGACTAAGGAACAAGCTACAAACTAAATCCAGAGGTGAATTTAAGTGAAAGATTAGGAAGCAGTGGAATATTATTCATTAGATCTATTGATATAAAAACTGGGCAAGTTTCAGACACACAGACCCTTCTTCAGCTTTCTTCAGTCTGTTTTTTCAAATAGTAGTTGATCTAAAGCAAGATATTTCTTTGTGCAGATCGTAGAATCATAGAATCATAGAATCATAGAACGGTTTGGGTTGGAAGGGACCTTAAAGACCATCCAGTTCCAACCCCCCTGCCATGGGCAGGGACACCTTCCACTAGACCAGGTTGCTCATCCAGCCTGGCCTTGAACACTTCCAGGGATGGGGCATCCACAGCTTCTCTGGGCAACCTGTTCCAGTGCCTCCCCACCCTTTCCGGGAAGAACTTCTTCCTGATATCCAATCTACACCTCCCCACTTTCAATTTAAACCCGTTACCCCTTGTCCTGTCACTACAGACCCTTGTAAAAAGTCCCCCCCAGCTTCCTTGTAGCCCCTTCAGGTACTGGAAGGCTGCAATAAGGTCTCCCCGGAGCCTTCTCTTCTCCAGGCTGAACAAGCCCAACTCTCTCAGCCTGTCCCCACAGCAGAGGTGCTCCAGCCCTCTGAGCATCTTTGTGGCCCTTCTCTGGGGGTCATTCCCCAAAGATCTTGCTTTCAGAGACCCAGGACAAGACCGTACCGGGTAAATGGGATTTCAAGGACTAGCAAACTCCCTGGCCAATCTGCAGGGTCAAGGAGGAAGAAATGAGAGAGATGTTCATAGAAGAAAACAAACAGGCAGATTGAGTTAATTTTAGTTGAATGTGTTGTATGGATGACAATTTGAAAAGGTCTGATGGGTAAGAAAGAGAAGAAACATGAAAAGATTGGAAGATAAGGGCAAGTGGTTTAATTTGATATTGCTGAATGGCACTCAGCAAAGGGAATTAGAGAAGACTTGTTTGATGAGGATGATATGCAGGAAGGATGATTTTCACAGCTGTGTTTTGTGTGACAGCAAGGTTTTGTTACTTGTAAACTGAACAGTCCCAGGGCCCCCATTCTGTCCCTGGGGTCAAGGAGCACAACCCAGCCATGCTCCTGCTACTAAACTCTCTTCTCTTCCAGAACAGGGTGGCAGCATCTGGACCTGGCCTGAGTTAATTCCTGAAGTGTGCTCAGTAACTGGTTAGGAGAGTGGTAGTTTGCCTGGACCAGAAGTGTGCCAAACAGTGTACTAAAAGTTTAGCAACACAGTAGGTCAAGTGCCAGAGCTCAGAAACATTTGCTGTAACAGTTTAATTTCCTAGGATAGACAGTCTAAGAGTGCAGTGTAGATGCTTAAGAGGACAGAGATATGAGCATTCAATACCCATGAGCTGACAGTTTGGAGAAAGCCTGAATCTTCTGGAAGGACGCTGTTGATCTTATCCTTTTACCTCTTAGTGGATTCATGTCCTCTGTACTCTTTTTTTCAAAATTCTTTTCAACTTTCTTTTATGGCACTGTCTAATAATCTCATGCAGTATTTAGCTTAAGGTGAAGTTTACCACTTCATTTAGTTTGCATTCCCCATTTTTCTTGGTTACCTTGAATAAAACCATTGTGCCACTCAGGGAAACTGTAGAGTGACCGTTGTTACGCATTGACACCCCACTCGTAGAGGATGTATACTCAAGTAATATGCTTTTTAAAAATTTAATTACATTCCTGTCTCTCAAGTAAACCTCATGTTAAAAAAAGATCAACAATAAGAGCAACCTGCTTTGTTTTGTGGTAATGAATTGTGAATGATCAAAATGTTGAGTGAAAGAAAGAGAACACTGGGAAATGTTCTTTATCATTTTCCTGCATCACTTTTAAGTTCTGTACATTTAAACTCATACCAGCATGCTGGAATGCTGAGAAAGTTGGTTACCCTTACTTTAAGACTCTGTTAAACTTACAATTAATGCCCTGGATTAACTTTCTGCCACACACAGAGTTGGTTGAAATGGTTGAGCTTTCTACCACCGTCTCTTGAGCATGACAGTATTTTTCAGTTTTTAGAAGATTGTTGTTCCAAAAGGCAGTATTTCCACTGTGGCTTTTTCAAAGTAATTTTGTTTTTAAATGCATCTTTATGTTTATTTCTTTCTAGGTAGGGATGAGATCCCGAAACCAAGGTGGAGAAAGCTCGTCTAATGGGCATTTCTCCAGTTCCAAGCCTGTCATCAGCCTCGCAGAGAATGAAAAACTTCATGAGGATGCCAAGAAAAAGAGCAAATCTCATCGGAAGGAAGATGAGGTCATGGTTTCAGCAACTGTCAAACGGCACTCAAAATCACCTGGACCTACTGAACGAAAGAACAAGAAGTCCATAGAGCTTTCTAAAGAGGACTTGATAAAACTCCTCAGTATAATGGAAGGAGAACTGCAGGTAAATCAAACATCTTTTGAACTGTATTTTCTAGGAACATATTTATTTTTAGGTTGTCCTGAAAGCACAGGGCTCAACTGACCAGGACATGCAAATTTAAGGCAAAGGACCATAAAGAGACAGCAGTGGTAGGTTGGTGTTTAACAGGATAGTCATAGTTTTAAATACCGATTTATTTACCATCTCTATCTGCAGCTACCAAAGCAAAAGAGATTATGAACACCTGTCAGAACTGACAAAGAAAGTGGGATCTGCAGGTCTTGAACACTTAGAACAACCAGAGGAGAATCGGCTGGGAGGGAAAAAGACAAGCACATATGCTGAGTGTAAATGTAATTGCTAATGCAAATATTCAAGAGACAAATCTGCAAGTCAGTAGCACTGAAAAAGGACTTAAGATGGTCCCTGGACCTTCTGCATATTCAGATGTTGCTCAGGGCTCAGCCAAAGCCCTGCCTGTCCCGCCTGGCCTCCAGCACTCTGGACATTCCCTGCCTTGCAAAGACCTGTGAGTTTTATTTCTTGGAGCAGTGCTCGCTTGCAAGTTTTCTCAGTTGTCCTGGTTCGCAAGTTTATTCAGCCCAGTAGCAAGTCCATAATGGCAGAAAGCCTGATTTTGTGCTTAACTCGTCCCCCAAAATGTTCATCCAGTTTTGAGGATTCTCTTTAATGCTAATAAATCGTTGAACACTCAGTAGTGTCAGCATTCAGGAAATTTCAAAACAAAGAGCTGAAAAATGGTATTTCAAAAAGTCAGTATGAAAATTTCTGAGTTTTCAAAACTTATTCCCTTTTGCAGTGGGACTACTTGTCAAATTTATACATTCTTTTGTTTGCACTTTACTGATATTTTTCACTGAACCTATGGACAAGCCGAAAAAACCTGCCCAACCTATGTGAAAAAATTTTGTCTCAATCCCTTTTTTATAGTTAACCATCAATTTAGTATTTCATATAAGGCTTTACTTTTGCCCTGAAACCCACATTCATTACATTTTTACTTTAATTTTGGACTTGTTGCTATTTTATCTGATTATAAGAAGCGACTGTTTTGTTAATTTCTGTCACATATGAGTCATCTTAATTGCACCATTACTATGACTCTGAGATTTCATGTCATTAAGTACCATTAAGTATCACTCTTCCTGTACATAATTCACCTTCAGTTTGTTAATAAGTACTTTCAAGCTTCAGGAAATATGCATTCAAACAAAATAATTTTGTCACAGAAACAGAGAATGGTCATTTTGTCGTGAAAAACTGCAGAAAAAAGCAAGAAAATGTGTTAAATGTAATTTTGCAAAGGAAAAAAACCTTTGTCGTTACAGAACAGTATCCATTTTTATAGTGCTTCATTTCATACAAAAACCTGTACAAGTCATTTCCTAGAAGATGGAGCTAGCCTGCAGCTTTGGTGGTGAATAGAGCCAAACCTCATTAGGAATGTATCATGCTCATGTTGTTCAGAAAGATTTACCCTGACATCACCTTTGTGGTCTGGAAAGGGGAGGCGAAGAAAGTCACAAATGTTTCCTGGGTGGCAATAAATGTGGTCTTTATTCTTATTTCTCAGTAATCCTCCTGTTCAGTACACGGAAATGTGGCTCTTCACCATAGTCTTTCACTTTGTGGGGAAGTTACACAACCTTTAAAGGGGTGCCCATGTTCTCATTATCTCTATGGGGATAGCTGCACCGTAACATGGGATGAAAATCATCCCATGGATAATAATCCCATTGTTTTGGACAATACTTTTGGCGATATTCATACATACAGACCCCACAGAGATGTTAGGCACTGCTAACATTTCCCAGCATCATGGGAAGATCATGAGGGCAACTATGCTGGTGCCGTAGAGTGCATCTGTTCTTTTGCTCCTTACTGCCAGGCAGGGAAGAGAATCATTATTCATTTTAATCCACAGCAGTCCTTAACTTCATTTCAAACCCCCCCATTTTAGTTAGTTGTTTGCCTGGTACCTGTCTTGAACCGTTACTGAAGTGGGCAAGCTACAGCACTTTGGCTTGAGACAAGAGCCTGGCTTTGACGCTACAAACGAAGACGAGCCAAGGAGGACTCCAGCCAAAATAAATACTCTGGTATTACCTCCTGGCTGTCATAGTGACCTAATGCACTGAGTCATTCCGTGGCTTTTCGTTTTCAGATCTGTTCGGACATCTCTGGTGGCTGGCTGGCGCTGTGATGGACTGACAAATCACACTGTGGGTTTATTTTGAAGCCATTTCAATACGGGCAAAGCAAACATTATATAGGCATGTGTAACGATCTTGTTTTGAGAAGAACAGCAGGCTGTACCTGTAGGGAGGTCCCCTTTTTGAATTAAAAAAAGGGATGAAATACCATCACTGTTCACTCAGCAGCCACGAGCAGGGGGATCTTACGCCTGCACTACCAAACACAGAGCAGGGGGTCACTGCATTGTTAAACCCCAAACAGCGAGCTCAATCACGGGAAGCAATCTGGTCATGACAACCATGGATTTAGTGGGGTAAACTGGTAATGTACACATATGCTTCATGTGCTTAGTTCACTGTTCACGTAATACAGCAACATAGACCCATGCCACGTTGCTGTCGGCACCAGTTTTGAGTCCTTACTTTGGGACTTGACCTCCCAGCTATTCCATTATGAAGGTGAACATGCCAGTAAACCGTGGAGACATGCCGTAGCAGTGATGTCTGTCTTCTGGTTGGTTTTTTTTTAATTATAATGACCTCAGGTAGCTTGCCTGTGCTTTAGCTTCTGGGGCCAAGCTGGACCCGGCTCTGCTTGTCATCAGATTTCCTGGCTGGGCCTTGTGCACTTACTGGATGTAGAGAAGCAAAGATTTTCATAAACAGCTGAGGTCACCATAGCCTAGGCCTTATTTTGTAAGAAAACAAAAGGTGAGAAAAAGTATACAGAAGCTACAGTGATGAAAATGTACGCCAATACCCATGGCAGGAGAGTTCTTAAGGACAGCCTGTCTGAAGGAGAGTGGGAAACAAATAAACTGATGGCAGGGATTGATTTTAAAGGCCTTATAGCTCATTGGAGTGTCTTTTCTCTTGTGAGATCTCACTGCTCATATAAAAAACCCCACTGATTTCGTGGTCTTTAAACACATATCAAATATATAGGGGCAAAAAAAAAAAAAAATCCATGAAGGAGGTCTTCCTATACCTGGAAAAATTTCTAATTTTTAAATACTGCAAAACTGATTTGAAAAGAAAAATTCAAACACCAGCAGAATAAATTAGACCACGAAGGCATGACATTAATTTGCCTGCCTGTTACAGTGATTTCAGTTAAACCAACATGTGAATATTATTATTTATACAGCAACACAGGCAGTGGGGATCTTTACAATGATGATGTAATCCTATCTGTCATTCACAGACTTTTGTCCAATGGCGTATGTATTTGTCCTGGCAGGAATATATGCCCTGTATACTTTCTGAGCAGCAGCCATTAATCTCCAGCAATACCAACACTGATTTTCAACATTTCCTGATTAGAGGCCCAAAAAGAAAAGAGGAGCAGTACTCGTACATGTTTACCATTCAGTCTTCTACTGCATGTTTGGAAAAACCTCCACAATAATAAAAATCCACTTATGAAGACAGCATCCCACTACAAATCACTGGTTTTTTCAAGAAAAATAATTTCTTAGCCAGGTTCTGTGCCTATTGCCAGATGATAATTTAAACTTAGGAGACAGTTTCCTATATTTCACACCAATTTAAATAGAAGAAACTTCGAAGTGTGGCCAACAGGTCGAGGGAGGGGATTCCCCCCCTCTACTCTGTTCTCATGAGACCCCTCCTGGAGTGCTGCGTCCAGCTGTGGAGCCCTCAATATCAGAAGGATATAGACCGGTTGGAGTGAGTCCAGAGGAGGCCACGAAGATGCTCAGAGGGCTGGAGCAGCTCTGCTATGGGGACAGGCTGAGAGAGTTGGGCTTGTGCAGCCTGGAGAAGAGAAGGCTCCAGGGGAGACCTTATTGCCCCTTCCAGTACCTGAAAGGGCCTACAAGGAAGCTGGGGGGGCTTTTTACAAGGGCCTGTAGTGACAGGACAAGAGGTAATGGGGTTAAATTGAAAGTGGGGAGGTTTAGATTAGATACCAGGAAGAAGTTCTTCCCGGAGAGGGTGGTGAGGCACTGGAACAGGTTGCCCAGAGAAGCTGTGGATGCCCCATCCCTGGAAGTGTTCAAGGCCAGGCTGGATGAAGCTTTGAGCAACCTGGTCTAGTGGAAGGTGTCCCTGCCCTTGGCAGGGGAGTTGGAACTAGATGGTCTTTAAGGTCCCTTCCAGCCCAAACCGTTCTATGATTCTATGATTTTCCACTTGAGTACTTTACTATAGCCAATGCTTTACTGTGTTTCTCCAGTGCAGAAATGGCATTCACCCCCTGCAGCTCAGCCACCCGTTCCTGTCGAGGTCTCTTCACAGAATCACAAATGTTGGAAAAGACCTATAAGATCATCCAGTCCCACCACCAACTCAGTACTACCATACCCACTATACCATGTCCTCAAGCACCACGTCTACATGCTCCTTGAACACCTCCAGGGATGGTGACTCCACCACCTCCCTCAGCAGCCTCTTCCCATGCCTGACCACTCTCTTAGTGAAGAAGTTTTTCCTAATATATAATCTAAACTTCCCCTGATGCAACTTGAAGCCATTTCCTCTTGTCCTATCAGCAATTACCCAGGAGAACAGGCCAGCACCCACCTCGGTGTCCCTTGGATGCTTTAGGGCTGAGGGAAATGTTTCCTAAGAGCCTGGTGCTGTGGAGGAGCAGAGCTCCTCAGAGCTGGGCAGCCATAGGGTAAATGAAATACATGTTAAGGTATCAGATGTATGTTTCCTCTGTTTCAAGCCTGAGGATGTGGATGGGCAGTATGTGGAATGTGATGTCTTGGAGAACAGCATGTATAATACACAAGTTATATATAGATGAACCACAAGCTACAATTCCTGAGAAGTCTTCAG